TTTTTTTAAAAATTTAAATATATTTCATTGATGACTAGGGATTTAGCTCAACGGCACCACGCCCCTGCCTTTAAAGTGCAAGGTCCTGAAATCAAACCCCGGTAAAGGTGGGAGGGGGAACACACGCGTTTATGTATGTGTACATATGTATTTCATTATGTTTAATTCAGGTATGTAACAGAATGTTTCGTATTATACAACAGTGAAAAACCTACTAAAGCAAATAATATTTGTCACCTCACGTAATTGTCCTGTACTTTTTTTTTTTGGTGGCAAGAGCAGCTAAAATCTATGCATTTTGCACACATCCTGTATACAGTACAGCTTATTACTTATGGTCCTCCTGCACATGACATCTCTAGATTTGTTCATCCTATATATCTGTGGCTTTGTACCCTTTAACCTATATTTCCACATTTCCTCCTCCTCCCTGACCTACTAACCAGTTTTTTTCACTATTTCTGTATATTTTAATTTAAAATTTTTCTACATCACACATATAAATGAAATCATGAAAAATTTTTCTGTGGCTGGCCTCTCACTTAGCATATAACCTCTGCCAGATGAAGTAAGTATGGCAAATGGTACTGATACACTTCCACCACACACAGGTACCATACCTTCTTTGTCCACCAAAGGAAACTCAGGTCATTTATACACACTGACTATTGTAACACAGCTGGAGTGAGGGCAGGAGCACAGATTTCTCTTACAAAGTAGAGATTCCACCTTCTTTGGGTATATGCACAGAAGAGGGACTAGCTGTTTTTAACTTGTTTAGAAACCTCCATGTTTCTCATAATGGCTGTGACAATCTGCATTTATACCAACAGTACACAAAAGTTTCCTTTTAATCACATCTTTACCAACATGGTTAGCACTGACTTTTTGATTATGGCGATTCTAATGAGTGTGGAATAGTATCTCATAGTGGTTTTGACCAACTCCTACCTAATTCACCGATGAGAAAACCAAAGGCCTGAAAAGGCTGACTCACCCAAAACCTCCTGATTACTGACAGCACAGCAATCAAAATTCAGGTACATTTATATGAAAAGTAACTGCTGGGGCCCCACATTTCTTTGAGTACCTGCATTCTGCCTTCGAGTGCATCCTTACTCTCTGTCTAATAAACTTTCTCAGGTCTTAAAAAAAAAAAAAAAAAAAAAAAAAAAAAAAAGTAAATTCCAGGCATTGCTGGTGTTCCCCGGTAATCCTAGCACTTGGGAGGCTGAGGCAGGAGAATCACAGGGAGTCCGAGGCCAGTCTGAACTACATAGTAAAAACCTATCTTAAACAAAACAAAACAAAAAGGAATTAACTATATTATTAACCGCTAAAGCCTTTGCTTTAACATTACAAAGAAAAAAAAAGATATTATGGTGTGAGGCAGGAGGATCACCAAGAATTCAAGGCCAGCCCCGGCAACATAGTGAGTTCAAGGACAACCTGAACTACATAGCAAGACTGTCTCCAAATAAGAAAAAAAAAAAATGGCAATTTGCAGTCTATTATAACATTATAATCTTCCTAAACTATAAGACATTTCATTTGTTAAATTAACTCCTACTATGAATTACCAGTTACCAAAAAAAAAAAGAAACCCTAAAATGACTATGAATTATGAAAATTACTTTTTTTTAAAATTGAGTTTATTGGTACATTTTAGGTATACTTTTAAGATATATTTCAAAATCTTATTCTTTGGGTTTTAGCTATGTCAAGCACCCTCAAAAAAATAGTTAAAATAATTCAGCAAATATAGGCAAGATACAAAGAACCCCACCGACATTCAAATTTAAATGTTTAATAAACCAGTATTAAAAGTAAGCTCAGAAAACTGAAATTCAATTCTAAGATCCCTATTGTGAGCCTTGTCCCGGGGACTCAGCTCCTGTGCCTGATGTCCTCATGCACGGGTGCCCACACGCCTCAGCAGAGTGCCAATGGCTGTTACTTTTACTTGGCTCTGTAGAGAAGATTTTATGTGAATAGGCTAAAAGGTTCTTCCCAACTTTGCAAATCTTTGGTTTTATGCTGCAGCTGATGGTGGAGGAGGTTGTTTGGGGTTTTATCCTGCCAGGCACAGTCCTGGTAGACATAGCTGACAATTGAGGAAAAGGTGGGGAGAGGCTTTTGTTGCTTTGTTCGCCTACACTAGTCCTGTGGAAAAGCCAAGCCACGTTATAGCATCTGCCTTACTGGTTTATTCAGGGAAGGAAAAAACATGCGTCCAACCTTTACTAAGTGTTTGTTTTTAGTTTTGATTTTGGTGAAATGGTAAGCATTTATTTTGAGCTAGAAATAAAAATTAATTGCATACTGTTTCAAAAAATAAATAAGCTCAGAAAAGTAAAATCAGGTTTTAGGAAAATCCTGGTTAAAAAGGATCATCTTAGCTGGTTACAAACAGCCTAGTTTGAGGGCAGATTATTTTGGTCAAAACAAATTCCAGGATATTACTCCAACTGTCTAATTATGATACTTGAATCAACCACTTAACACCCCACCCCTGTCCATGCCTTTGACCAGGCATTTTATCCATTTACACACATCCCCCACTCTAATGTAGTTCATAATTAATTTCAGGAAAAGAGAGTCTTGTGTATTTTGTTCACTACTTATCCCCAGCACTCAGAAAATGCCTGACATAGCAGTTTTTCAATACATACTTGTTAAACAAAGGAATGAACAAATCTAGGCGTGACTTAAAATGTTTCTGCAGAGGGGGGTTTAGCTCAGCGGTTCTGCCACCTCCCTTGCAAGTGCAAGGGCCTGAGTTTGATCCCTGGTACAAAAAAAAAAAAAAAAAAGTATCTGCAGAAACTTCCTTTCCTGGGGAACTACTGCTAGCTGTTACCCAACAGAAAACTGCTTAGGAAATGACCTAAAACATACTTGTACAGAGAATTAGAAGATCAAAAATTAAATCAGAGCTCTGTCTACAAGTATGCCTAGAAACCATTCATATTAACGAGCACACAAGACACATGTAGAATGAAATTTCTCCAACTGATGCATCACTTTAAAAAGTACTCACATGTACGATATGCTTTATTTAAAAGTCCCAAGAAGCACTGTGCTTTGACTTAGGAAGCTGTAAGATTTTAGTTTCACTTAATTCCACTAAAACAAAATAGGACGACAAGAAACTTTTTAAAAAGGGGGTAGGGAGAAAAAATGTACCATATAGAGAATTACTTACCCTTTGTTGGCAGATCCACTTTATTTCTATATTAAACCCTACATCTTCTGGTAAAGACTCTAAAACCTAGAATTTTGTTTGTTTGTAGTGAGTTTTGATGTTTTTGGTAAGATGGACAAGAAAAAAAAAACAACAGAATTATTACAAAAAAGCAACCAATAAGAACATATCACTAAATAAGGTAAAATATTTTGTGTATTCAGTAAAAACCACTATCTTCTCATTTAAACTGCCTGGTTGATAACCTGGTTGATTTTATTACAATTAAACATGAGGTATGATTGAAAAGTATGGTGAATATTCTTCTGTTGTGTCTTTAGTTGCACTGTTGTGGCTGCCAGATGTCCTGAATTGATTGAAAACATTACCTTTCATGGACATTTTGACTTTGGCAAAGAGCCAGAAGTCACATGGTGAAAGATCCAGTGAATAAAGTAGCCAAGGACACATTGGTATGATTTTGACAGAAAATGCCATAAATGTTTAAAATCCATACATGATATGGAGGAAGCCACAAAGACACTTTTGAAAGAAGACTCTCAGAACTGCTTTAGAAGGGGGCAAGGATGATAGAACAAGTGCGCTCAAAGTGACAGGCAGTATTTTGAGGGAGGGGGGTTAACAGCAGTATGATTCACCGTAATTTTTCACACCTCATAAGAAAGTCTAATGGGGCTTGCTGATCCATGCCTGTAATCTCAGGACTCTGGGAAGCTGAGGCAGAAGAATCACAAGTTCAGATATAGCCTGGGCAACTTAGTGAGGCCCAGTCTCAAAAAAACAACAAAAAAAGGAGTTAGGAGCCAGGCATGGTGGCACATGCCAGTAATCCCAGGATTCAGGAGGCTGAGGCAGGAGAATCCCTCCAAGTTCAAGGTTAGCCTGCACTACATAGCAAGACCCTGTCTCAAAAAAAGGGGGATTGGTGGAAATGGGGATGATTCAGGCATGATGGTGCATGTCTGAAATCCCAGCATTTTGAGAAAAGAGGGTCACTGAAAATTTAAAGCCACCCTGGCAGCATAGTGAGTCCAACCTAGGCTACACAGTGAGACCCTGTCTTAAAAATAGATAAATAAAACCCAACAACAAAAAACAAAAAAGCAGCACAAGTACAACACAAAAATTCATCTTTTCAGCCAAGAATGGTGGCACACACCTGTAAACCCAGCTACTCAAGGAGACTCAGACAGGAGAGTCACACAGGAGGCCAGTCTGGACAACTTAGCCAGACCCTATCTCTAAATAAGAAGGGCTGGGGATGTAGCTCAGTGGTAGAGCACTTGTCTAGTATATGGGATGCAATGGGTACAATCCCCAGTACAAAAAAAAAAAGATCTTTGCCCAAGGGCATCCACTGCATGAATGTATCTTTCACAGTGTCTTTTTAGTTAACAAAATCACTTATTCGGGCATTAACAAAATTAATGAAATACCCTCGCTTTAGTCTGAAGCAACTTAGCATCTTCACTTGATCTTAACCAAAAGGCCGAGAAGCGGATTGCAACTTACCATCTTAAGAGAAGGAAATGGCTGGTTTTCAGAAAAGAAATGTTCTCCCTCAACTACAGATTCTGAAATTTTAAATAACAAAAACTCAGTATATAAAATGTCACTGTATCACTGACATCTTTTCCTATACCCTAAAAAACAGAGAGCACACTGATGTAATTATAATGTCCTTTTATGAAATGCAGGATTTGTGAAAGCTCTTGCATTTATTCATATTAACCATGGTGTTAAGCACCCCTTCCTTTAAAAAACAGAGATCATCTTATGACACAGTATATTCCAAAAGTGAAAAAAATTAAAATAACAAGTTTTTCTAAAAAATAAATATCCCCATCAAGCCCTACCAACCTGTGTATTACATACTCATAGACTACAATTATGAAATTCTTTAGTTGTTGTGTCAAGTTAAAGCTCATTTTACTGCTAACAGTTATGAAACATCTATAAATTTGTACAATCATATTTAGGCTCTGCCAGTAATCTTTGAAGTCTTAAGCATCCCACAATTTTTTGATGAAGGTATTCATTATATGCTATCACAACTGCAGACAAACTACAAAATCCTACCAAATGTATAGCACTGTAAAGGTACATCCTTGGGAATATAAAACCATTTTCCTAGCCGTGACAGCCTTACACTCCAGTTGAAGGGAGGAGGCATAAACAAAGGGTTTTTAAAAGGATACAATAAACCTCAAATGAATGGTACAGGCTTTAATGTTCTATGAGAGTAGAAGGCTAAATGAAATTGCAAAGGGATGCTGGAGAGAAGACATGCTCTGAGAAAATCGAGCCACAGAGTGGTCAAGCAACATAATCTGTCCAAGGTCACAGTGATAAACAGTGCTGTTTCAAACTGTTGGCTCTCAATGCAGATTCTATACTACTCTACTTTGTAATAGCTATGTTTACAAAGGCTAACAAATATAAAATTGTGAATAACTTTCATCATCAAACTAAAGCATATGATAAAATGGTTACTATGCACATGACATATTTAGTTGAAAATTAACATATATATAAGTATCTCACATCTATGAAACTATAGTTATATGGACCAGTATTATATTCACTAAAATGACCTAGAATTGGAATGTTAGAATGATTAAATATCTTATTAATGCTAACTGTAAAATGAGAAGTGTTTTCATACTAGTACATACCTTTCCGATCTTTAGATTTTAGTGCAGTCACATGAGAAAGCTAGAAAATATAAAGAAAGTGCAATCAGAAATAAAGCCAGAGTCTATGAAGAGTAAAATGGTAATCTGAAAACCTGGTAAATTAGCAAAGATTATAAAATGTAAAATTATCAGTTTAGTAAGAATAAGCAAACTACAGTACATATTTTACATGAGACAACAATATCACGATAAAACACCCAAGGATGGAAAGAATATAAAAATTTGCAAATTAGGAAACTGTTTATATTAATCAGCCATCTATTTAGGCATCTAATAGGGATGGAAAAAGGAATCATGTACAATCAGATGGTGTAACAAAGTATATAAACACCCTAGGAAAAATAATATGTGTAAAACCAACTATCACAGCATGATGAAATGGAAACTGAACTGTATTGTAAAATACAGCCGACAGAATTAAAGAAGAGCCATCACAGGCTGGAAGCAGGCTGAGACCATAAAGGGCCTACAAAGACTTAAGGCCTAGGGTTGTTTTTTTTGTTTGTTTGTTTTTTGTTTTTTTGTGGACGCAAAAGTAGATGGATCAGCATAAACCCACTTCTCACAAATTACAAGGAAAACTAAAGCATCCTCTACACATACTGAATGTAGTCATCCCTGAGCACAAAGAAAAAAAAATTAGCGTATTACAGTCAAGTACAAGTAGCACTAAGGCTAATGGTTAATTTATATTTTATACTACTATCATTACCTTTAACAACTGGAGTTGGTCAAATGTTAGTTCCTTTACTGGAATTTCAAATAATTCAACTGGATCAGCATCAAATTTCTAAAAAGGAAAGAAAGGAATCGGCCCATTTGCTGAATTTTTGCACCATGCAGCCTCCAATCTGATTTTTTTTTTTTTTTTTTTTTTT